TTGTTATTTTACGGTGATAATCTTGTTTTCTTGTGCCCAATAATGCATAATTTCATTTGATAAACACGTTTAGATTGAATGGTAATTTATAATCAGTCACAAGAACGTCGAATCTGAATCACTTGAAAAAAACACGGGGGTGCTTAACTTTTTTCCAGGTGTATACTACTGATATAGTAGTATATAGTCTCAATATGATAAACTATATACTCCCCTAAATACATCACCCAATATACTACCGATACAGTAGTATATACTTCCTAATATAATACAAGCTATACAATAACCAAAATAAATCACCCAATAATGTACTATGTATTTCCTAGTACAATATCAGTTCACACAGCCCATTAGAGTTAGAAGTATTACTATGATAAAGAATTGAATTAAATGTGGAATTCAATCTACTTTATTGAAATCAAACAAAGCATTAAAAACTTGGATATGTTAGCACTCTGTTTACTTTGACATTAAAGTTGGGTATAAGCAAAGAAATTTTAACAAAAGTTGTCACCAGTGAAGCAATGAAACTGTTTGCAGATTTTAAAACAATATACTACTTATATTTATATTTATTGCCAAAAATGTTTAAATACTAACTTGTTTTATACAATTATTGCTCTAGCAGCTGAATTAACAAAATAATAAAGGCTTAGGTTAGTATTGTTACGTCTCCGTTTGTTAATTAAGGTACAGGATAGTTCTAGAAAATAGGTGGCGCCACACCAGTCACGTGACCTCGATGACGCAACAGTATGAAAGGATGAGCAGATTGGCTGGGTGGACTTGTGGGATCAGTTCAGTGGAAGAAGGTAGCTTTTTAAAATGGATCGTTTACATTTAAATAGAGTTGGGACTGGCATGTTTGCTAAGGCTATTAATTTGACTCTAAGGGAAGTTTGAAACTAGGACTGGTCAGTGGTGAGGGCCAGGAAAAACTAAATGCAAAAATAATAAGAGGCAGAGAAAAGTTTAGCATAGGAAATGAATATAGAAGTAGTTATAAGGATAGGCTTAATTGTTATTATTGTAATGCTAGAAGTATATGAACTAAAATAGATGACTTTAAAGCACTGGTAGGAATGGAGGATTTTGATATAATAGGAATAACTGAAACATGGTTAAACGATGATGATTTTGATGACAGAAATTTCTTTGAAATACTGGGTTACAGGCTATTTAATATGGATATATTATTAAAGAGGGGGAGTGGCTTTATATGTAAAACGTGAGTTACATTCTGTTGAAGTTGAGGATATCAAAGATAATAGCAAAGAGATTGAATCCATTTGGGTTTCTATTAGTGGATATAAAGGGAAAAGGCTTTTAGTGGGAATTTGTTACAGACCACCAGATGATACTGATGAAATTAGTGAGGAACTTTACTATGAGATTAAGATTTCAGCTGTTAATGAAATCATAATTATGGGTGATTTTAATTTCAGGTATATAGATTGGGAAATGCTAGAGTCAAACCATGAGGGAGAAAGGTTTTTGGAAACTGTTCAAAATGGCTATCTTCACCAGCTAGTCAAGGAAACAACTAGAAACAATGCTATTTTAGACTTATTGTTAACTTCAAATATAGAAATGATTGAGAGGGTGGAAATTGGGGAACATCTGGGTGCAAATGATCATTGCTCTATTAGGTTCAATGTTTT